TAAAAATGTCTATTGACAGAAAGACAGACAAGCAACTGGGTGATGGAGATCTTTCTAATACACTGACCAAAACATCTAAACATTTAATTTAAAATATTTGCTATTCTATTAAAAGAATTGGGAGAGTCCTTTCAGGTCTCTTTGAGGTAAAGTGTTTAGACATTAAAATGGTATGATTAAAACTGAAATTGCAACCATTTCCAATATTTCAATAGGATTAAAGCTAAGACTGTCTTTTAATATGTCTTATTAAAACTTTGGGCATGATAATTTAACAAATACACATATTTGTTATGAACACATAATTCATCCTGATATTTTGAACAAATACTCCAATCTACCGGTATTTTTTTTTTCTTTTTTATTATTGAATTGGGGTATTTTGAACAAAATATATCTTAACCCCCCCACCCCCAAAAAAATGCACATTGCCTTGCCATTTAGTATAGTGCACTTGGTATTTGTAGTATTTGTGACACAAAATTCTCAACCTGTCCATCTATAATTTATAAATAATAACTGCAGGTTCCTCCCTCAAGTAAAGTCAACTAAGAGTAAGAAAAAAGAAACTGAAATTGCAATGCCTGAGATATACTAATGGAAATACCTTTTAAAATAGTTTTATTTTCTTCAGATGCCATATTAACTTAACATTTTTATAAGAGAATAATAGTCACTTGACTTAGTGGGAGTTATCTCTCTTACCTGGGTGTCAATGAACCTTAAGATCATCTCTAAACCATACATACACTTTAGCTAGTCTAAGACTATTCATTCCTTTTCAAATACCTTTGTTTTTGAAATATTTAATTACACATCTATTATGCATTAGACAACTGTAAGAATATAATTATTTCCATAATATTGCTTCGTATATATAATAAGTTGGGGGCCATCCAATCATGCAGTGTAGAACAATTCATCACTGTCACCTAAGCATATGCTAACCATTATTTATGCCAGAGGAGAGTATGCAGTCTTTTACAACAACCATACAAGATAATGCCCTTAGTTGTCGGGCTTGAACTCGGATAAAAAGCACCTTACATATCTGGGTACCTGTACTTACAACAGGCAAAAGATTATCTTTATTCACTTTTATTTGTCCAAACAGTATGATACTGCAAGTAGAATATTTTACTATGCATTTTATGTTTTGCTGCCAGTTATCAGATAAGGACATTTTTAAAAGATGCTGCTTTTTATGTTATTTTACAAAGAACAGGGGAAGTAAAGGGACCTTTTGGATGAATTTCATAACAGTTGTATATATAGTTGATAATTGACCACCCTTTCACAAACATAAACAATTGTACATGTGAAAACATACTGTATGTGTACTTAAAAAGTTAGTGGTTTTGGTGGGGACATTGATACCCTCAATTCATGAATACTGCAAAGAAATCTTATATGAATAGAATATAATAGTGCGGATTTTTATAGTGCTAATTCATGAATGCTTCAAGGGAACAATTCTATACCCAGTGATTGCGCTAAATTTTGAATATGCTTATTGCTAATTTATGTACACACCATACAGTAATGCAAACTAAAGGTTAGTTTAAGGTAACATATATGCAGTTTGTTTTTTTTTTCTCAATTCTTTTGATGTCATATGTATTTAATTTGTGTGGATCATTTTATTGGTTGCTGCACTGAGTTGCAAGGGCAAATGTACATTACCTTTGTATGTTCATTTACAAAAAAACTTTTCCATACTTAACTCACCAAATGCAAACAAATCCCCTCTCTAATACATTTCCGAGTTAGATCGCAGTACCACTATTTCATTTCTGACTGGTCTTTGATGCTAGTGACATATACGACTTGTCTTTTCAACATTTTAAAACAACTTAAATTTGCATGTTTTAATGAACATCATCATAATAGCATAAATAAGCAAACTAATATGGCTGTTTTGAAAAATGTCCCAACTTTCTGATAAGTTGTCTATATATAATCAAGTAATTTGCATATAACAATAACAATTGTGCTACTTTGCCCACTGGTGATGAGTAAAATATCACCTGAGGGTATCCGAGAATGTTCATTCTTTTAAAAAAATTGTAAAAAGAACATATAACAGAATAATTTGTTCTTCAAAACGTAATTTCTACTCAAAACAATGTATAAATTCCAACGTATCAGTCATAATTAATCTGTTCTACATTCAAATATATGTTTGTTTCCCCCCGATTTGAAAGTACTTTTAAACAAGATACTTAATTGCTTTGTTTTTGTTTTTAGTTTTAAATTTTAATTCATTAATTTTTTAAAAAAATTATTTGTATATGTTTTATAATTTTTTTGTCATATCAATTATGTTTGCATTTAATATATATTATATATATATCTTTATAAACTCTGTTATTTACATACACCTAATCTAAACAGTAAAAATATTTGCACTACTTTCATAATCAGGTGATTATCATCTAAAATTAAACATGCTTTCAAATATTTACCGACAAATTGTTTACCATTGAAGTGATTGTCTGCTAATCATACAAACAGATAAAAAAGTTTTAATAACAATTATATTGATAGTTTAACATGACATAACTTGTGTTTTCTTCTAAATTTGTCGAAAAAAAATATGTTATGATGTTTAATGTGTGTTCTAGAATCAGCTTTTATTATTTGTTATTATTTAAGAAATGAATTTTATTTTTGAAGATTCATGAGGTTATGAACTACGACGCTTCATGCCGGCATACTTCATGAAGCACGTTAGCGCTTCATGATAAATATGCCGGCGTGAAGCGTTGTAGTTCATATACCTCATGAATCTTCAAAAAATTAAATTCGTTTCTTATATTTACATTATTTTTCTGATGACTTGCCATAAATTTATGCCGTTCAACTGTCATTTTTAAAACAAAACAGTGTGCACTATATTTTTTGACTTTTTGACGTCAAGAGCGGTATTATGACGTAACAATGGAGATATTCATACTTATTCGTGATACATACCTAATGTAGTTCATGAGAAAATATACTGCATTTTATTTTGTAAAGAATCATAAGGGAAATTTATTGGAAATGTAAATATTTTGATATGTACTTTTGGACCTCTTGTTCTTCATGCAGCCAGTAATGTTTGCAGTATTCATTTGTACTTTGATAAAATTTGCTATCTTAAAGATCTTTATACTACTTCCAAATCCAAATTATATTTTCTGAGACCAAGACTTCCAACAATCTGTTGGAATTCTGATGGGCACTAAATATGCTCCTTCATTAGCCAACCTGTGTCTATATTCCTTTTAAGCAAAATTTATTCAGAAACTTCTACATGAGAAGAAGAAAACACTTGCCATGGCCTTCAACTCAACAATTATATATACTAGAGCTGGAACGATACAACTTTTTCTATATCGATACATATCACGATATTTGAGCCACGATACGATATGTATCATGATATGTTTAATTGCTTATAAAACCTTTTTTTGCATTGAAATAAACAAATTATTTCTTTGCAAAAGAGAATAATTTATTCAAAATAGTTGTTTATATTTTGGAAAACAAAAATATTTTATTCAAGTGGTGTTAATCATTATTTATTTCATATTTATATTACAGATAGCTTATTTATTTTATATATTAAACCCCAAATGTTAGATAAACAAAGAAAAACAGAAGTAAGATTTTTTGGGGCGATATTTCGATATTTGTTCAAATGTATCCATATGTGTATCGTCCTCACATATATCACGATATATCGATATCTCAATATATCGTCCCAGCCCTAATATATACCAAGATGTATTATCAATAGTTACTTTAATTCATATGTTGATAGGATTTGGCTGACTTGTGAAAACCCTGTCTACTTGATCAATGCATTCTTGGGCTTGCAATTGAGATCAGTGTGACTAGTGATCATGGGATGCTTACTCTTCCTTGGCACCTGATCCCCCTCTAAAATTTCAAGAGGTCCATGTTTGCACTGTTAACAGATTGGTATTGTTTGGATTATTTATGGTATTGATCAAGGTTCCTTATCTTCATCAGTATTCATGTAAAATTTAACACACTTCAAGGAAAACACAACCAACCCTAATTTTTAATGCTCCCACTTTTGCTTTTTACCTACATGTTTACATTTATTTCATTCTACCTTTTATTTGAAATTAAATTGTGGTCATTTCAAATAAACCCTTCTTTGTTATAAATACTATAGGCCACAGTACTTTTATTATCATTGTTTTTCAAAGTGTGTCATATAAAGTTTTCAAATACTGACACAATCATGATATTAAGTAATTAACATGATTAATTCCATAAATTATGCAGAATAATTCATTTTATTTTGAATCGGAATTCTGTTTCTTATGATTTCACTTGTTTAATACAAACATAGCAAATACATCAAGTGATGACATTTTAAAGATTTATATGCTAATTAATTAATCTTGTTTGTTTATTGCTTCCTACTGAGTATATGTCATCAACAGATCTGAGGCTATTGAAGGGAAATAAAATTTCAAACAGAAACTCCTGCTGTTATCCATGGGTTTATTTTGCAATGTAATTTATTTTAAGATTTTGAAACATTTTCGCCCACGTTTTGATTTTCTGAAAATGGAAAAAGGCATATCTTGATAAACGTACATCCGTCAATTCATGTCAGTGTACATATTTTGTGTACAATTGAGTACAATCTTAATTTATTAAAACCATATTTCATTCCATTGATGTGATTTTCATTATACAATCGTGATCATAACATTTATGCTCTTCATTCCATATAAATTATGTTATAGGCATACGTAAATAAACTGATAGTGATAAATATATTTCAAGTACAGTGATCTGAGACAATGTCATTGAGATGAAATCTTACGATGATAGAGAACATAAAGACATGATAATTAACTGAATAATATACATGTTTATCCCAATGTATTACAGCCCATTGCATTCTATGCCGCCGGCTATGCTGTCACTGACTGAAAAGACACGAAAACTGAAAGGACAAAAATAAGTTAATATACCTTCTGACAACTTGTTATCGCTCGAGGGACGCGCCTGCAAACTCGTGGTACTTGTCGGATCAACTTGTAGATCCTTCATTTTCGTCTGAAGACGTTAAAAATCACTATATTCCAAAATATTTAAGATTTCTCTAGCAGACTTCTTGTTAGCCGTGTTTCCCTTTTTCTCTCTGTAGATTGTACACATCCGGAAGATAATTTGATTGGTCAAGCGGAATATGACATCACAAGGGAATTCCCCCATATAAATCCCCGCTGGTCTATCAACGTCATGGCTGTTTCAACCAATTAAAAAAAAGTTGAGAGAGAGAAACGAAAGGAGCGGATTCAATAAATTAAATGTGTATATTCGCGCAAACATAAAATTTAACGTACTTTTGACTTACATGTATATATATTTATTATTTTGAGTAGATGGTGTGTCAGAACCATAGGCACATATGACATTTTAAATTTCGTGGTAGTCATAAATTTGTGGATATCTCAAAGTCTCGAAAATAACGACCCCCCCCCCGAAATTTAGTGATTTCACGGTATATAGTTTAAATAAATAAGTTTTAAACCTGGCAAGATCTTAATTTTTTTAATGACCCATCCTTATTTTTGCCTTTTCTTGATTTTCTCCCCTTGCAAGGGGAGTTGGTCCTTCATTTTAATAATTAAAACATCCCTTCATCCAAGGACGGACCACGGATGCTTTATATCAAGGTTAAAATTAACCAATGCTTCTTGAGAAAAGGTTAAAATGCAAAAAGTTTTCAGACGGACGGACAGACCGACAGACGAATGAGATTTAATTAATGTCCCCTCGCTTTCGCGAAAGCGGGGGACAAAAATGTAGCAACTGTACTTGAAACTTTGCAGCAGCAATAAATAAAATAAGAATCCTTGATTGATTTCCTTTTATGCTAAGATTGCAATCAAACTAAACTGTAGTAGGAGTCGATCTTACAGAATTTTACAAAAAAATCTAATATTTAGTAATCATGGCAACAAAATTAATTGAAATCAAACCCGAAAAATAGAATTATCTTTCTAAACGTAGATAATCTGATTAAAATCAGACTGACATACAAAACACTTACAAGTGTCCCAAGTAGGCAAGTTACTTAGGGCAGTAAGAGGAAGAGCATTTTGAAAATATTTTACAATAATTTCTATTTTAATTAAATAATCATTACAACACCGTTCATCAAAATCAAAAACGATCTTTAGAATTATGTATCTTACTTTAATCTACTTGTGTGCCAAGTAATATTGAAATCAAACCAAAACACTAGAGGGCATATTCTAATATTCTATGCATAAGTTCTTCTGGTCTCTGACCATTAGAGCAAAAATTCGCTGACAATTCGGTGTGAGAAAAAAAATCAGCCCTATCTCTTCTCAATCAGAAGTTATATGAAAAAATAACATTTGTGAAAAGTAGGTCAAACTTCAAGGTCAAGGTCACGAGATCAAAAATCATAGTGTATTTAGAAAGGTCTTGTCACAAGCAATGTACAGATTTAATAATAAAAGCCCTATCTCTCCTCATTCTAAAGTCCTGACCAAAGTTAAAGTTTTTGAAGAGAAGTTCAAACTTCATGGTCAAGGTCAAGAAGGGTCTTGTCACAGGTAGGCCTAATACACATGTTCAATATAACAACCCTACCTGTTCTCATTCAAAAGTTATGGTCAATTCAAAGTACTGAGTAATAATTATTTATTTTTAAGTTGGTCAATCTTCAAGGTCAAGGTCACGGGGTCAAAAATCATGGTCTTGTCACAAGCAATACACATGTATAATATGAAAACCATATCTTTTCTCATTCAAAAGATATGACTAAGGTTAAAGTGTTGTGACAGACGGACAGAACTCGAGAGAGACATTTTAAAACACCATACAAACAATCAAACAAATTAATAAAGCCAATTAAGGATGTACAACACACCTACCCCAAAAAAATTCCTGTCGTTTAATTTTCGTTAATTTTGTATATTTATTACATGACTATATCTACTGCATGTTTGCATATTTTGGACAAAATCGTTCGAGTGGTTTTTGGACAGGAACTTCCGAAAGTTACCCCCCTTTAGTTGTTTACAAGGAGAGAAAATTTTTAATCAATGAACTACTTAAATCTTGATTTTCAAAAAAAACAGGTTAGATATAAATGTCAAATTTGATTGGCTTATTCCTTTAACCATTTAACACAAAAACATAGTCATCTTTTTGATATACATATCATCAAAACAATTTTTAAAGACCTTAAACTGAAAAACTATGAATTTTCTAAGCCTTGAAAATTACGTATTTTTCAAATTCAAATTTTTTTTTTGAAAAAACCTGTCGTTTAATTTTGGTAAAAAACTTTCTTTAGGTAGCTGGTAGTAAAAATAATCTTAATAATTTTTTGTATAATTTTTGTACGACCAGTTTTGATTTAATAGCGGAAAAATACCCCCTCACCCCATCTCAATAAATCACGTTCCCGCGCGTTTTTCAGGCGGGGGTCGATCACTTTGTTATATGAATCTACAAATACACATAAAAAAAAATTAAATTTGAATATTGCTTTTGCTTCAAAAATATATTAACTTACAAATTTAAAAGTTCTCATATGTAAAGCCTATTTAAATGTAGATTTTTAGGCAATTTTTGAATACCCCTATTACCCCCACCCCTTCCTTTTTTGTGTCGCAGACCATTATCGTTTGACGAAACGTCGTTTACAGTGCAAATATACTGGTATTTCGTCAAGAATCCCGTAGGTATGCATTAGTTTTTAAGTTCATGAATGCAGAATAAATATTGACTACTCTTTTTATATGTATCAGGAAAAAATTACTGAAAGATTTTCCATATACGTATGCGTTATGCATTCCATATCACATGAAACCTGGATACGAAGTTTTGTTGAACTTGAATATGTTGATTTTTAATTTTATTTCTTCAATTTTATTCATTAAAAATGGTGTATGTTCAACTCTCCTGTGATATAAATGGAATAATTGTAGTTTCTTTCATGTCATTATTTCAAATGAGCCAGTATGTCGCCGTGGGGATACATCGACATTTGCATTAGATGTACATACACCCCTCATGATATTGTACGCATTTCTTTCAATGTCGTCGCTTCTAAAGTTAAAATGAAAATTCCGTATTCGTCCACATTAACTTCAAAATATCAAACATTAAACTCTTCATCTATTTCAATTTATATCAAATCGCACATTGATATTTTTTAAAATCTTATAGGCTACGTTTTGTTTTGATTCGAGGAAATGCGAACCGACATTGTTGACAGAAAGTCAAAGTTACGATTTGCTGCAATAGGATATTCATAAATGCAGATAATTTCAGTACAAGTGAACAATTCTTTTCAATTCTATACTTACATTGTGTATATGAGGTCTAAAGTATTCAATTCTAAGATTTATCAGGTCATGCTGTAAATGTATCTGATGCTGTGGAAAACCGTGAATAAGGGAGGAAAATAAACATCTCCTACATTTTCAGAGTTGTTCCTCTTTGATCAGTAAGGGTCTGAGGACAACATCGATTATTTTACATTTTAAAAAGTTTTTGTTTATTTAAATTGTTGTTTTATTTAATTAAAGAAGAAAAACAATATTTATATCGTGTATGCACAAATTGTAATGAAGACCATTAATCGGAATGTTATATCGCCAATTGTACATAATGAGAATTTCGGCAATGTAAAATAAGATTTTCAGAATAAAAAAAATGTTGTGCTTTGATCAAAAATACAATTTATTGTATAAGAAATTAAATGAAATAAACATTAAGGGATGGTATTTTATGTCTTGCTTTTTACGGAGTTTAATCGGGTTAATTAAAAAAAAAAAATACAGGTTTATTGATTGAGTATGATACGCACAATCACAGCCAATCCCCATATCCCAATTTTCTTTCATGATTGATATGCATCGGGATCGTTTTACTAGTCGTTTTGACGCTTTATTTTTAACGTTAAATTTGACGTCAGGTCAAACGTTCAATTGAAATCGCAAGAGTTATCTCCCCCAGTGTGTTGTACGTCTTTAAACGTCACAAAAATATTGTTACACTGACGATTATGACGTCACAAAAGATCACTAACGTCACAATAAATCTGTAGCAACTTTGTTTAGGAATCGGCAAAATGCTAGAAAGCATTAGAAAGACGTTGGTAAGTTATATACATTTTATATTTTACAATTTTATATGTCTATATTGTACTTGACAATGTATATGTTACAATTCATCGTCGCGTAAGCCACTTGTGTTCGTTGTTTGTGAAAATAAAATGGATACTAAGTCCATGGCTTGCAAAGATGGTAACGCTTTGATCTCCATATCTCTATATATAGGATCGACTATTTTTAAAATCACTTTGTTCCTAAAGAAATGATTCTTTAAAAAAAAAACAAAAAAACAATCACACTATTTGATGCAAATCAAAGGCTTTCATTAAAAAGGGTAAACTCTCTACAGCTGTGTGTAGACTGAATTATGTAATTGAACTGAATAAAGTAGTTTTGGCGCACCACGAACATTGGAGCCTCATTTATCCGGATGTTTTTGTTCCCAGTCAAATCGTTCAGCTAGGATTCGGATTTTTCAGGGGAACGGATTTCTCTTTTAAAAATTCTAAATTACTTTATATTTCGTGGAGTTGAAGAGTACCACTAAATGAACGACCTGTGTGCAATACTTTTATTGTCTATATATGGATTTGTATACCTCTTCTAAAACAAATTTTGATGAAAAAAAATCTGGAATTTATGTTTTGTAATTTTTGTACATTTTTCTTTGAATAATGCAATAATTTTCATAATTTGATATCTTTTCAAAACCCCTGGTAACACATGATGATTTTTTGTCTAGGAATATGTAACGGGTCATATAAGTTTAAATTTAGAATATTTTGAAAAATTATCAGTAGATAAGGTACCTTGCTAATCATGTTCTTAACGTTTTAACCTAAAATATTCCCCATACTACACTGCTCACGTTATTATTAGGGATTTTTTTTTCATTTATGAAAAAAAAGGTTAAAAACGTCAAGGCCCCTGTAGATTACATAATGTCTCTCAGTTAGAGCATATTCTACGTACGTACAATTTTCGTACGCACTACTTTTAGAATTGTGCAAGTTACTGACACACAAGTTGATGAAACAAAAATACTGCGGTAATATCAGTCCGATTCAAAATCATCCTTTCGAAATTTCGGTAAGATGACTTTGTCAGGAATTACAATCATACATGTACCTTAACTCAGAGACATAAATAACATGTCTCTGATTAAGTCAAATGCTGTCTGTATTTTTGTGTCGCTAAGGGATCACTTTAACCGGCGTCTGTCTATCTGTCCGTCTGTCACACCTTGGATATATATCTCAAGAACTGTAAGAGATATGGAACTTATTGCTTGGCACTATGGTGTTTGTAAATTGCCGTGGTTACCGACCTCATGACCCATGACCTTGTCCTTTGACCTATTTCACTAAAAAGTTAAAAATTCCAATATACAATACAACATATTATTAACATTGAAGGGGTAATTCTATTCTATTTAGCATGTGCATTGATTTTCATAAAACATGAAAATTAGCAGTGTATATAACAATTCACTTGACCCTTGACCTACTTTACAAAGAATACCCTGGACAACTTAATTTAACTTAAGACTTTTGAATTTGGAGTGGCTGGTGTTGGGAATTAACATTTATACATGTTTATGGGCTCATTAATTATACTGTTCTTTGAAACTGTATGATATTCACTATCCACACAAACTGATATTTAAATATTATGAAAATACATTGAGATCGGGATCCCACAACGGATCGTGTTGAGTGTTGTAAAGACTTTCACATGATAACGATAAATAATTATTTATAATGAATTCAACTTGATTATACATTGTAATATTCATTTGAGGGTTGGGAATCATATTCTTTTGATTGACAGACATTATCGCAATCTTATACTATGTGTGGATGTTTTTTGTGCATTTATGAATTATCATGCTAGAGTTTTTTGACATGAAATACATATACTCTACATGCTAGTAGCGTATAAATAGCTGAGCACTCTTACATTTAGTTACATCTTCAAAGAAGTTAAAAGCAGGCGACACATGTTTTCCTAGGAACACTCTAGTTCATACTTATTGTTCTAACATTATTTACAAACTGAAATGTCTAATGTTCTTTTTTCGATCATGACGAGCACACGCCGAGTTATGCTTACTCCTCCATGACACCTGATCCCACCTCTGGTGTTTGAGATGCCCGTGTTTGATATGTTCCTGATTTGTATTATTTGAATGGGACTTTTGGGTTTGAATATTGAAAAATGGAAGGGGGGTCTATAGCCCCTAGGTGCCTGTGGACTTGAACGCTTACAGACGTCGTAACTAAGTGTTAAATTACATTTACAAAACCTGATCAAAAAATAATTTAGAGGGTAAGGCGACGTGCTTTCCGCTTATGGTGACGGGCTCGAGTACTTGGGGATAAATGAAAAAATCATGGTATTGGAGCTAAAATTGCAGTTTTAGGGATATTGGTTTTCAAATTACCGGTAAATATCTAGTGTAAAAATAATTATTATAACTTACTTTTGACCAAATACAATTCTATGAAACCATCCCTAATTTTAAGTACATTTAATTTATTCATATCCCCTCGAGAATAATTGATAAAAATTTCATGGGTATATGTATAAAAAAGGAGGAAATCGTTTAAAAGTTTCTGAACAGCAAGATGACCTATACCCGTGAACGATGTGGTCCTAATTGGAACTTGCTGAGTAGGGGCGCGTTGACCTGTTTCACGCCACATCGATCTGGGCTTTCAAAAATTTTTGTCAAACTATATTTTTTTTCATTTGAAAGCCTTAACTAACTCATAAAATAACTAAAAAGAACACGTAAAAGGGCTTTGCGTGCTTATTTTCATGCAACCTGACTCAGCGTACATGTGTATAGAGTACCTCTCAAAATTCAACATCCAAATCTTAACCTAGATAAGTATGATCTCATATTTTATATTGATACATGTACCTACAAAAAAGTCCTATTGAGATTAGAACTTATGAAAAGTAGAAAATATTTGCCAGGAGAATTTTTAAAGATTTTCCCTGGAAAAAATCAACAAATTAATGCTGACCCTGTCCATGTCTCTTTTTAAAAAATGCAAAAAAACTGAATTTTGAAAAATTTCACAATATCTAAACTGTTAACGTGTCATTTTTCTCTTTAAAAATATTAAGATTTGTATAGATTTGTCTTTTTTAACCAAATAATGTTACGCCATATGTCCTATGACGTCACTATACAAGTCGTCATAAAACGTCACAATACAAATCGTCATAAAACGTCACAATACTCCAAAGCAACATTGTTTGTGTAAGTTATCTAGTTCAACAAAATCAAAATGCTGGATAGCATTAAAGGGACTCTGGTAAGAAAAAAATCTTGTTTGTATACAGTATGCACTTAACATTTATTGTTTGTATGCAATATGCACTTGACAATTATAAGAATGTATATACACGATGAATTTTAATGTTTTCGTAATGTTGACGAACTTTTTTGGTTGTTTTCGGGATGGGAGGATGTGTTTATATAGAAGACTGTTAGGACAAATACATTGTATTACAAATGGCTATTTGGAAATTGCTTAATTAACTTTTCAAGAAGTTTATCGTAAATGTTATCAATTCATTTCCATGAAATTTATGTTAAAATTTGAAAAAGTACTTGCCCCTGCAAGGCCAAAGGAGAGCCATACAACAATTTTACATAAATTATTGATGGTCAAACCTTTACATGGAAATAAAAACGAAAATCTTTTAAACAAGAGGCCCATGGGCCACATCGCTCACCTGACAACTGTGTCCAGAGAAAAAGCAAAAATCAATCCAGTTTTGAAAAAGCTTATGGTCCCAACTTACCCCTAAAAAGGGGGGGGGGTATGATTTGAATTAACTTGAATCGACAATAAGTAAGAATGCTAACATATATCTTTCATTTAATTCGGCTTTTTCCATACTTATTTTGGCCCCATGCTACCCCCAGGGTTCATGATTTGAATAAACTTGAATCTACACTACCTTAAGATGCTTCCATATAATATTACCAATCATGGCATTGTTGTTCATGAGAAGAATATTTCTAATGATACAGTACAATTTGGTTATACCTAGTCACTGGGACCTATGAAATTACTTGGCTATATCCGTAATTCGTTATATCTTTATAAGGAATTTGTTAACTTATATAGCTGGGGATGCAAAATAACTTCGCTATATCCGTGAATTCGCAATATTCGTGTTCGTACTAAACAACTTTTACTGTATTTACTATTTATTCCATGTACTAGTAAAACTTTGATCATCCTTGTGGGCCCATCCTACCCCAAGGGTAAGGATGTCAATAAACTTGAATATTTACAACCTAGCTGAGCATGCTTCCTTATAAATACGACAATCATAGCTTTGTAGGTCTTGAGAAGAAGACCTTTCAAGATTTTTCCTGTGATTATTCCTACTTTGATCATCCATTGTGGCCCCACCCTACCCCAGGGGATCATGATTTGTAAAAACTTGAATGTACACTACCTGAGGATGCTTCTATATAAATATGGCCATTCATAGCTTTCTTATTCTTGAGAAGATTTTTCCTGTATATTCCTATGTAACACTTTGATCGGCCATTTGATTAGCTAGGTGAGCTAAAAACAGAAGTGTGACGTTAATTAATATGGGTAACGGCTAGTGTATTCCTTTGTCAACTGTACACTGGTATACCTCATTGTAATTACCTTTGTCAGTTACAACATGTGAAAAAGTAATTTCTTTTTAAATCTTTCTTTCAGCTTATGGAAGAGAAATATGTTAGGATATTTGATCAAGTGTTAGAGGAGTTCATGAAAGTTCTAGAAATGGTAATATTTTATGCTTTTTAATTTCTTAATAGAATATGAAAACTAAGTTTATAGAAATCATATTATTGCAAAAAGATAATGCATATGTAATGCATATGTAACGGATGTTTTACATGAAAATTTAATATCATAGGCGTTTTAATTAAGTAGCATGAATATATAGATATTTTATTTCCCAATTTAGCTTAAACAAGACGCATTTACGAATGATGAGAGCTTCTGCTTGCAGACTTTTACAAAGGTTTGTAAAATTTACTGTCTTAAAGATATTGGTAATGCTACTAAAAAATTCAGGTCATTAGATTAGTCCAAACTATATTTGATGTAATCAATTAAATGTAAATTTTTCAGAGCATTAAATCATTGTTCTCATTTTTAGTCATTTTTGAGGCAATTGTTTGAGGAGGAGAAAAATAAACTGGAAAAGAGCATTGCAGAGCAAGTATGCCACAAGCAGGCGCGTAGCTGCCTATACGCAAGTACGCAAGTGCGTACACATCATTTTCCAAAAAAAGGGAAAGAAAGAAAGAGGGATAAAAGAAAAGAAGGAAAAAAGAAAGAGAGAAATTTATTCGGGGAAAAAGAGGCACTACCCGTGTTTCAAATTATTTTGCGTCTTATTGTTTCGATTCAAATTTTTTTCAGCAAGTCTGCACATTCAAATTTAGTCCTTTATAAAATAATATTCCAAAAACATCTTTCAACATTCTTGAGGAAAAAATATTGTTGAACGAAAATGTTCAACTTCAAATTAATCCGCGTAATAGTATACTGATTATCCGGACAAATATTTGATGAAGGTAAGCTATCTAAGGGACTTTGATCGAAAGAAAAAGTTTCAAAGGTCTTGGACGACTATACAAGATTTTTAATTTCGTAGAGGTAATGAATAAATGTCGTTAAACAACTTAAATTATGGTGAACAAAATAAATAATGATATAGCTTCTATTACTGATGTTTCCAATTTAAAGAATTTTATTATAAATAATTGAAGCATTCTCGAATCGCTTCAGCTACATGTATAAAATATGAAGGTAATCAAAAGACAACAACACCCCCGTTTATATCTTGAAATATTTAAACTCCAATGATAACGATATTGAAATTTCTACTCTGTTTTATCTTGATATACCTGGAAACTTTTTTCCAATACCAATATATGCGTAAATTAATTTTATAAATTATCGTTCTGTTCCTGAAGTATCAATGGAAGCAGTATAACTTAGCTAAGTGTTTGCTCGAGAAAAGTGATATTACCGTTACTTCTTTTGAGAGAAAATGACTGAAAATTTTCGTGAAATCCAGGAGCTTCCGGGGGCTTTGCACCCTGGGCCCCCACCAGGGCTTCGCCCTGGACCCACTGGGCGCCTCAGGGCGGCCCCCAGACCCCCGTCCGTTTTCTGCGTACACTTCATTTCCATGCTGGCTACGCGCCTGACAAGACTGGGCAAATACTACTGGTAAGTATATTTATAAACAAAAGAAGGGAAATTTGTGTATCTAGGTAATGTATAAACTATAATGTAACTGTCATTTACTTTGATCATTTAATTACCGTATGATTTTATATTGTACTATAGTATTTTAAAAGTATGGTACAGAGCCATTTATGATGGATGACCCTCGCCAGATACAGTGCAAGGCAGTGGTAAGTAAAAATAATTTTTTTATTCCCATTTGAAATTGTATGTTACTGTTTTATTGCATCCAATTCTTTATTTATTAAATATGATGCAAAAATTGGATTAACACATATTTCTTGGGCACTTCTTTCTCTTTCTGGACTTTTTTTCTTAGCAATGGAGTTTGACTAATAACCAATACCTCACATTGTTTAATTTACTAGTATTGCTTCACTTCCTCTGTTTTAGATGTTTACCACATGGGACATAGAACTCTAAATTTAATCTTAATTAAGTTAATATTCAAGCAGATATATCCATTTAGTTCAAATACGATTGGTAATCAAAAAGTTCGCGAGCTATCTCTATATCTACTAAACCACAATTCAGATCATAGACCTAAAGCGATTTAGGTCTATGTTCAGATTAGAACAAAAAATTAGTACACAATAAAGTTTTGCGCCTTGTTTGTGACATCACACTGTGAAAATGTGTAGGTCACTTGTGACGAAAAATGGATGTCTCAGTCGTACTCGTTCAACAAATGACTGCACAATTTATTGTATATCTTAGAAATTCCCATGCAGAAGCATATAATATTTTGTACACAGTTTATTAAGATAAATGGCTTCTAACAAATTAAATCAATGATTGGATTGAACATTTTAGTGAAGGAAGGGAGATGGTTAAAAATGATACTTGTTATGTTGCCCAGTGAAAGCAACTTTGAAAAGAGATGTGTTTTTCATTATGCAATTTGTTATCAAAGACCTCCAATTTACACTTTGAAAAATAGTTGAATATTTGAACAATTATATAATTATTAGATACCTAAGATATCGTTTACTGTAGATTTCAAACGTATTAGATATGATAAAAAGGAGGCACCCATTCTCTATCCACCTGACCTAAGATTTGGGTTTTCATAGTCGCCATGCTTATTTTTGGAAAGACTATTCTTATCCACCCATTCTGTTGCCAAGATTTGACCATTTCTGACAAATGAACTGTTCTTGTTATAAAAATTAACTTACATGGAAATTAATATAAAACTCAGAAAAGTCTTTAAGCTTTTGTGACAGAACGCTCAGCAGAACGGTGGTTGATGTGCAATAAAATAGAAGAGGACTTATTTAAAATATAATCAACACTGAAACGAAATATTGTTTCTTTTATGGAAGTTATTCTATTAGTTCGCGAACTTTTTGATCACCCCTAGTATACTAGTATACTACTAGTATGAGATGAATAATTATAAATAATTATATGTGTTCACAAACCTAACTGTTTTTTTTAATATTAATTTTTCTCAATTTTTGGTAATTTAAGTCCAATCAACCAGATATTATGAAAAATTAAGACACTGTGTTGAAAAAAATAAATCTGTTTATCTTTTCTAGATTTTCCTTAAAAGTGTTAAAAGAAGATTTAAAGAAGAACTTAACAAAAAACCAGAGATTAAATTGTACATCTTTAATGAAATGATGGTAATTAGTACATGATATATGTATACACATTTCTGAAAATAAAAAGTAACCTTACAAGCTTGTTAAGCCCTAATTTTTGATCTTCAAAATGTGATCCTGTTTCCCTTTATCTAAGCAAAAAGATATATGTAATTTTGATTTTATTAATTAATATAATTATTACTCCTTTTTTAAATTTTATTACATGTAATTTTGTAAATGTTCTTTACAGAAGGAGGAAGGAGGCATAGACAAGAAAAAAGAGGTAAATTTTACTTAAAACATTTATTGGAAAAAATACATTGTTAAGATGTGTAAAATAATTTTGGAAATCTGAATTTGCCTTTATTGAATCAATATTGTTATACAGATTGAATTGAAGACAAGAAATGTGAAGAAAAAACAGATGGAGAGACAGAGAAAATTGATGACAGAGGTTTTCAAAGAGCTGAAGGTAAACAAGAAACCTAAAACATTTATGAAAAAAATACATTGTTAAGGTGTGTAAAGTACTAGTGATTTTGGAAATTTGAATTTGTCTTTATTGAATCAATATTGTTATACAGATTGAATTGAAGACAAGAAATGTAAAGAAAAAACAGATGGAGAGACAGAGAATGTTGATGATAGAGGTTTTCAAAGAACTTAAGGTAAACGAGAAACCTAAAACATTTATGAAAAAAAAAATACATTGTTAAGATGTGTAAAATAATTTTGGAAATCTGAATTTGTCTTGATTGAATCAATATTGTTATACAGATTGAACTGATGACAAGAAATGTAAAGAAAAAACAGAAGGAGAGACAGAAAAAGTTGATGACAGAGGTTTTCAAAGAGCTGAAGGTAAATTAGAAACCTAAAATATTTATGGAAAAAATACATTGTTAAGATGTGTGAAATAGTTTTAGAAATCTGAATTTGTCTTTATTGAATCAATATTGTTATACAGATTGAATTGAAGTCAAGAAATGTAAAGAAAAAACAGAGAGACAGAAAAAGTTGATGACAGAGGTTTTCAGAGAGCTGCAGGTAAATTAGAAAGCTAAAACATTTATTAAAAAAATGCATTTTTAAGATGTGTAAATAAATTTGGAAATCTGAATTTGTCTTGATTGAATCAATATTGTTATACAGATTGAATTGAAGACAAGAAATGTGAAGAAAAAACAGATGGAGAGACAGAGAAAATTGATGACAGAGGTTTTCAAAGAGCTGAAGGTAAATTAGAAACCTAAAATATTTATGAAAAAAATACATTGTTAAGGTGTGTAAAGTACTAGTAACTTTTGAAATCTGAATTTGTCTCTATTGAATCAATATTGTTATACAGATTGAATTCAAGTCAAGAAATGTAAAGAAAAAACAGATTGAGAGACAGAGAATGTTGATGACAGAGTTTTTTAAAGAGCTCAAGGTAAACGAGAAACCTAAAATATTTATGGAAAAAATACATTGTTAAGATATGTAAAGAACTAGTAATTTTTGAAATCTGAATTTGTCTTGATTGAATCAATATTGTTATACAGATTGAATTGAAGTCAAGAAATGTAAAGAAAAAACAGATGGAAAGACAGAGAATGTTGATGACAGAGGTTTTCAAAGAGCTTAAGGTAAACGAAAAACCTAAAACATTTATGGAAAAAATACATTGTTAAGATGTGTAAAATAATTTTGGAAGTCTGAATTTGTCTTTATTGAATCAATATTGTTATACAGATTGAATTGAAGTGAACTGAATTTTCTCTTTATTGAATCAATATTGTTATACCGATTGAATACAGAAAACTTCAAATACTCTTTTACATCTAAATGAGTGTCATTTTTAATATTTTACAAAAGGGTAATTCAAAGATTCCTCATTTTTTTTTTTTTTTTTTATAGGAAACCTGTAAAAAAGATCAGGAAAGATATGAACCATTTATACCAAGGAAACTTTTCCTGTTCAATATAGAAAGTTTTAAAAATTTTCCTCAGGTAAAAATTTAACTTGCCCTTTTTAAAAAAAATACATTCAATACCCATGCAAAGATTACCATTATTTGGAGGATCAGAAATTCTACGCATATTAATATTATTTCTATACAATGTATTGGAGTGTATTCAAATTTCTATACTAGTATCAGGAATCTTAGAGGGTTATAGAATAAAGAGGTTGGAATGATATTAATAATTCCTTGTTGGTTATAAAAATTCATTTACAAAATCCTTCTCTTTTAGACTGTTGAGGCTGCACGGTCTGCACCTATCAGTGATGTTACAGAATCTGAGGAAAACAATGACACTGCAAGTGAAGAAACTGTAAGCAGTAGATTTATAATCCTTGCAATGCATAGCAGTGTTTCCATCAATACAAATACTGTCATTTTTGTTGAACTTAAGAAGATAGGATAGAACATTGCTATTCATTTCCATTTTTTCTTTAAATACCTAAAAATGATTTAGAACACAGCAAGAAATCTTTCCTGTTCAATATCCTCGGTTGAAATCTTTCATTTTCTTTAAAAATTGAATTCCCATTGCAGAACATTGAAGCTTACATTTGTCTACCTAACCAAAATTTAAAAAAAATTATCTAAACGATTTAAAATTCAACTCTTCATTACATTTAAGAATTCATTTTATTTTTCAGATGCCTTCTTTGCCAAAGAAGAAAACAATAAAAGACAGAGTTAGAAAATTCTTTGGATCAAAATGAGAGGCACAGTAATCTGTTGGAACTATGAAGTTCATAAAGATAGAAGTAGAAATTCACCTTTGAAAGACATTTTGATACATCAACTGGAAATTAACTAAAATGTGTCATTTATTCTAGAATACTTTTGTAATGAAATAAGATATTTAAAGCACACTTTTCCCATTCGTTTAATGAAATAAATACAGTTAAATTACATATATTCATTGTGTAGTTTCTTGAGATTAATTAAACAATTAAATGCTTTCTTTGGTTGTTAGTACTGGAATGAATGTCGCAGCTGTTGCAGAAAAAATACATAACCTGCGTAAGCTATACAAGTAATTATGTAAAAAATTTTCTGCAATAGCTGCGACATTCATTCCAGTATTAATAACCAAAGAAAGACATTTTATTGTTTATATTTATATCTGTTTAAATAATCATTGAAAGTAGGATTAAAAAGATTAATTAAGCGCGCATGCGCAAGCGCTTTATAGGGTGTCTCAGATATTTTCACGATCTTTTTATCAACGCCCTCTACCGACTGCATATATCAGGGCTGCATTCAATACCGTAGTTGCTGGTAAACTTACACGTAGTTAACATAATCATGCTACATACCCAGTTGTTTTGAAAAGACATCTACCCGTGAGATGTTAAAATAAATTCTATTATACAATCATTTCATTTATAACTAATATATGGAAAAAACATGAAAAAATTGCATGTGTGAGATTTTACAATTAGATAAAGAACATTCGTTCAGTTAGTATACCGGTATATACAGCATGTCGCGTGATGCAAAGTGTTATCCAAGTAGGATTGTAGGATTTCAAACTTAGCATAAATATCTGGGTCATTCTCAAATTTTGTCCAGATTCAATCAACAGAATTCAGAGGAAAAAAAACCTGAGAACTAAATACTTTTAAGTTTTATGTTAGTAATGAAACATCATTGATGCGTAAATAATGTTGAAACACTAAGAATTCTATCAACATTTACTATAAAATCCACTATAAGTACATGCATCCAACAATAAATGTCCTTGGTGTTACTTACTTAGAAATCGCAATAAAATAAGAATTTACGAAAACTTAAGGTTTCTAGATTCATAATCTAAACATCCTGATCAGAAATATTCTATCAAAACAAACTGAGGGTTCTTGAGAGAGAATTTTTAAATGACATGAAGCTGAAAGTTGTTGAAATTATAAAATTTGGTTATTCTTACATACATACCTTAAGCATATGTCATTTTACCTCAGCATGAAACACTGGCTTTGCAAATATTCTTCGTATTAGAAGACAGCAGGCCTGTGTAGCAAGTTTTGATAAAATTGTGGAAAGATTTAGAATATAAATTCAGAAAAAATGGTTGAGTAACACCAAGGACATTTTCATAACACAGAGGACATAAAAGTAACACAAAAGACATTTTGTTCAAACCTTCAGAATAAATGATAAATTTGTTCTTCTTCCCCCGCAAAAAGCACAACAGTGGCATTATCTAATAGATGTTAATGAAAGTATATGATTTTAAGAAAAAAATTTGCTTGGGATTTCATTTTTTTTAAATTTGGAGTCCGACTAGTAACACCAATGATTAAAAAGTAACAACATAGATATAATTGTCCAATTACAAAGATACATGAACATCAACAAAAAATAAAAATAAATTGTGTATGAATAATGCAGGATTACCATCATAGGACCTAGAATCATTGATCGGTGCATGTACAAGTATTTGTATGTCCAAAAAGAAGTTGTAACACCAAAGACAAAAGATAACACAAAGGACATTTCATTTTATTTGTTTTATTTTACATACAGCCTCCTTCCACACTGGGTTAACTATTCAATACTTCCTACGAATTATAACCAAAACATCACATATGTTGTAAGATTCATCTTTTACAGTTTTTGGTCAAATTTAGTTTTTTTTTATTTTCATTACTGCTTTGATCATACATGAAGTTCTGATTGTCTCTTTTCCAGTGTTTCAGCATTTTTATCTGGTTTCTTTTCCAGGGTCTCAGTGTTTTCAGTATTTTTATTCAATTTTTTTTCCAGGAACTCTGGTTGCTCTGGTTTTTCTTCATATGTACTCTTTTGTCTACCCTTCCTTTTTTATAAATTATTTGATGCAAAAAATCCTTTTCACTGAACGCTTGCATGAGAGTCAGAGATGAAGGGTCACATGGACTTGTGGACAGGACCCCCCTTTCATATTGTACACATGCATAATGAATAAGTGTAATAAATATAATTTGTGAAAAAAAAATGTCCAACAAGCCCTGGGGTTGAATACTGAGGGGGGGGGGGGGGGGTCCTGTCCACAAGTGCCTGTGTGAAGGATAATAATGGTTTTTCATCAAAATGACAAAAAGACAAATGCAATATCTTTATACCCAGAATTGATATGTACATATGGCAAAGTAATCTGAAAAAAATGTAAAGGCTTCGGGGATTTTTGTTACATGATGATAGCAAAATGCTGCACGAGGTATTGGTATCACAATAAATGTGAAATATTGAAAAAAAATATCGTTATCATGTTATTCAAAACAAAATTTAAAATTTCAATTTTTTTCATTATTTATATACCCAGAAACTTGTAATGATTGTGTGTGTTATTAAAAGCTCCTATGCTAGGAATTTTAATTTTGTAAAACCTTATTTACATGTATATACTATATAAATTATAACTTTATAAATATTTATGAAGAGGAGAAAAAATTAAAATGTACTAAAACAGTTCAAACAAAATATGTCATTTTAAAAATCGTTAATAAATAATTCTAATATATTTTACCATTAAAGATGGAACAAATAAAAAATAATACCTCATATCTCCCTGTACACTTTCGAACACAACCACCAACAGATCGATCACCCCTGCGGCCGATAATAGCAAATAAAGTCGCAGACAGCAGGTATTGAATTTTAGTACGAATGATATTCTTCATATTCTTAAGAGTAGAATGATTCATTGTTCAAATTTTCATTAGAAGGTTTCGTGTTCTCCACTTTACATTCAAGAGAAGGAAATCAGCGACATTTTTTTGTATTCAAAATTTGTCCAAAAATTTAAAAAAAAAATTTCCAGCTAATGCAGAGCTATATATACGTAATCTGAAATGAGATAAGTCAGAAGAAAAAAAATCGAACTGTAATATAAATATAATTCAATTCTATCGCAGAAACCTGGATTTACAATTCAGCACAGGTAATCTTGTTCTTCGGACGGGTAACAGTGTTACTATTTTATGGTGCGACAAACAAAGAAAGGTTAAAAAAGTAAATCACTTTCTTTAATAAAATTGCACAGAGATAGTAAATTAGATTATCTTTGTTCATTTTTTTTTTTTTGCATTTTTAAAGACTTTGGTGCAGTAAAACAACTGACATTCGATGTTATTTAACGAAACAGTCAAGGCGATCAGGAGGCGGGTTTAGTTGAACCAAGCTTAGCGCTTTCCAGTACTTTCAGTACTTTGATTTTTGTGTTATTGATACGTACGTCTTAGTACGTTTCATTGATGGAACAGCCACTGATCAGGGAATCTGTACAGGTGATATGCCCAGTGTTGTTCATGCACTGATTAACGGCAATAGGTTTTCATAAGTAATAAAGGAGAAAATATTCAGTGGATGTAAATATGTTAGAATGATGCAATTTCCTGAAGTACCATCATCTTTTAATGTTACATTTTTATAATTGTAACACGGAACTTGAAATAATACTTTGCAAGTTAAAAGCTTCAAGTTCTTAAGTTATAGAGATTTTTTAAAAATAGAAGAGGTGGTTATATTTTGGTCTGCTACACGTACATTGTTTGTTTGCCATCTTAATCACAAGGGTTAAAAACGATATGAAATTTAAAGTGTGGCCAGTTCTTTATAACTAAAACGGAAGCACTGTGATCGCCAAAGGAGTGGTACAGGGACGAAACTGGGACCTATTCAAAATCTTTTCCCTATGCTTTGATAGCTGTATAGCTGTACAAATGTATCTACATGTAATTCAGTCAGTCAATTCTGTGCATGACGAGTAGGTCTTTCTTTTAAACAATACTTATTTTCATTCATACTGTATCTGTATGATGAAATATATACATTTGTGGTATCTCTCCATTATATAAACATACAGAGAGAAAATATCTTCAATTCTGTATGAAGTTTGTCAGAGGTCAGAGGTCAATACGTGACCTAATCACACGGCGCAATAATATCTACCGATACATAAATTATAAAATGACCAGCTCTACTTGCTTTTCATGTAGAAAAAAAAAATAAAAGAAGCAAGTATAATGATAATTATTTTATTTTAAATGTAAACAAGTATTTCATACAGTTTTGGGGCTATCGATTCAACCCGTGTACATAGAGAAAACTAGGAGCCTAGCGTTTGTTTACATTTTTCTTCACTTTTGTCAGCTGCACAGTCTCTAACGTTCATCCTTATTTTTTGGAAAGACCTTTGGTTAAATTTTCATGATAAACTTTTATTTTATCTTTAAATTTTACTCACGATAAATGTGCAAATCTGTTGGAAAATATCTTTGCAATCATACCATGAACAGCTGCCAAACACCTCGGCGTTTTCGTAGTTCAATGTAACGCTGTCGCCAATGTCTCCGTGTTTATAAGTGTTTTAATATAAGTATGCCTTTAGATACTGAAACCGTGGAATGTTTTTGATCAAACTGCAAATTAACTGGCTCGGACAAGTGTCTCAATCTATCGGATCCATCCATCCCTTTCCAGCGACCGAAATTCCTCCAACCTCTTATCATCAAACTTCGGACGTGTTTCTTGTGTCTTTTCAGGATCGATTATCATTTTTCACGAATAAAATATTCCAAGACAACATTCTGTTCACTATTACTGATCACAAGTAGCCTTTCACAAAATATTCCCTTCGAAATAGATTCCTTAGCCTAATGAATTCGAAGCGTACCCGCCATGCAAGCCGATTTACACCTTGCGTCATTTTTCAAAATCTACGACGGACGGTTAGTGCAATAATTCAAATTTGAAAGTATTCAATCGTCTGTCTCAAATGTATATATAAGTAATAAATAACAAGTTTATAAACTTCAATGGGAATTGAAGTGGGTCGGTACGTGATCAAATCTTCTGAGAAGGCCTTCGGCCTTCACAGGATTTGATCAC